CTCCTGTAGCGAATCGATGCGTTTTTGTAAGAAAAATATCCATATTCAAAACGTAATAATCACTTTAATATAGCTTGCACTCACTGTTGTACACGGAAGTAGCTCCAGGCGGATGATGTATGAGGTCGGCTTTGTGCATGCGCCGCTCAGAAGTGACGTACACGGAAGCGCGGGGGAGAGATCAAAACAAAACAACAGTCACTAATTAGAAAGCATTGATATTTTTTTTCTTTTTAATTTATACACATTAAATATTACATATATGTATGTAATAAAATGTGTATTTCCATTACAGGTTTAGGTCTTAAATTTCATATAAGGTGGTATTAAAAAGGTCTTAAAAAGCCTTAAATTTAACTTGTTCAAGTCTGCAGAAACCCTGAGGACTGTTGGCGCAAGCTACATTAAAGTGATTATTACATTTTGAATATGGATATTTTTCTTCCAAAAGTGCATCAATTCGCTACAGAAGGCCTTTGTTCACCCCCCGGAGCCGTGTGAGACACTTTTTTTATGGATGGGCACTTTTTATTTAACAACTTTTGGACTGATGCATGCAACACCCGCTGAGTGCCATGAAACAGCTTGAAAGATCAAAGACAATTTTTAATATAACTCCGACTGGATTTGTCTGAAATAAGAAAGTCATATACACCTAGGATGACTTGAGGGTGAGTAATTTATGGGCTAATTTTTGGGTGAACTAACCCTTTAACAGTCTGCAGTTATTTGATCAAATCTGCAATTATTTTATCAAAAACAGCAAAAATAATATTATTGTAAAATATGATTAAAATTTGGGGGAAACTATTTTAATATACATTACTGGGAAACAGTTTTGAATTATTAAGATTTGTATGTTAATTATTTAAAAAAAATTGTAATATAAAATATTATCTTCAGTGTCACATGATTCTTCAAAATCATTCTAATTTGCTGATTTGGTGCTTAATTATTATTGGTACACAGTTATTAATAAAAGTTTTATTATCAATGTTGATTTATTTCTTTCTTTATCTTTTTTAATTTATTAAAACATTTTTTTTTACAAAAAAATAATCAGCAGAAAAAAAACTTTACAGCATTAATAATAAATGTTTCTTGAGCACAAAAACAGCATATTCAAATAATTTCTGAAGGATCATGTGACACTGAAGACTGGAGTAATGGCTGCTGAATATTCAGCTTTTCAATCACAGAAAAATGTTTTTAAATAAATTTAAATAAAAACAGTTCACTAATAATATTCTAAATATATTTTACAGTGTAACTATTTTTACTGTATTTTAATCAAATAAATGCAGCCTTCATGAGAATTTTCTAACATTTAAAAATTTTAATAATCCCAAACTTTTGACCGATAGTGTAATTTGAAATGTCATTTATTCCTGTGATTTTTAAATGTTTCAACTGTTATATTTATTTCCACTTTTAAATTCATATCTATCATTGCATGAGCAATGAATATTTGTTTTAAATATATGGTTATATCTGAAGTCCATTTGAGTTCGTTGTAGATCATTAGATGTGACATTATGTACTTTTGGAAGCCTGTGAAACCTTGTGTGAAGTTGTCTTAACAATAACGGCTGTGAAGTCATCGACTAACTGGGTAGTGAGGCAGTATGGCAGCAGCCTTAGGTATCGGACACAGCATTAGACTTCTCTCCCCATTTCACCCCGGCATGACCACACTCCCAGCATGAGCGATCGGGGCTGAGAGAGGCAGGTTGGCATGACAACAGCGCAGAGTTTGCCGTCTGTTCCCACACAGTGCCGTTCAGAGCATAAATTCTTTAACATCAGGCCAAGACTCCGAGACATTAAAGAGAACTGAGCACTATTTATTCATAAAAGGAGTCATGCCGTCGTGCAGTATGTCTTATGGCAGACACACATTCATGCATATGTTTGTCACAAGTTCAACTGAAGTGAAATAGAGGAAAAATTGGGCATATGTAGTTCTCTTGTTATGAATGAACCCGAAGTAATGCCTGTCATGATTGTTAACATCTCATACCTGTTATTATTGTTATTACTTTTTATCATTATTATACATAGAATGGGACTCAAAATGCTGTTTTTGTTTCCAAAATGATAAATGGATGTTACTTGCATTCTGGACGATCCTCTGCAGTGAATGGGTGCCGTCAGAATGAGAGTCCAAACAGCTGTTAAAAACTTCACAATAATCCACAAGTTATCCACATGACTGCAGTCCATCAGTTAACATTGTGGAAGTGAAAAGCTACATGTTTGTTATAAATAAATCCATCCTTAAGGTGTTTAACTTTAAACTGTCGCTTCTGGGCACAATGAAAGCATCTTAATGATGGATTTGTTTATTACATTTGTTTATTGTTTATTACAAACAGTTTTTCATAGAAGACAGTCAGTCATACAGAGTTCAAATGATATAAGGGTGAATAAATTATGAAAGTCGTCTCATTTTGGGGACACTATTCCATTAAAGGGGTGGTTGATTGCGATTTCACTTTTTTAATGTTAGTTAGTGTGTAATGTTGCTGTTTGAGCATAAACAATATCTGCAAAGTTACGAAGCTGAAAGTTCAATGCAAACGGAGATATCGTCTTTTAAAATTCTGGCAGTTTAATGCCTACAAAAACGGCTGGTAGGGACTACAAGAAGTTACTTCCCGGGTTCGTGACTTAACAAATCCAGATAAACCCCGCCCTCGGGAAAAGGCAGCAAAGGGGGCGAGGCCATGCTGCCTTGCTTTAGAGAAGAGGAAGATAAAACTAGAGGTGCACGTAAAAATCTATTCATATATGAATCGCGATTCTGTCTTCTAACGATTCTAATGGATTCACAAGTTTCAAAATCAATGTTCTAAAGCAGAGGTTCTTAATACTGTTCCGTGCGTCCCCCTGCTCTGCACACACTCTGCATCTCTCTCTCTCTCTCTCATTCAGCTCAGCT